ACGGTCTCACTGTGTAGTTCAGGCTGGACTTGAACTCATGGACATTCTCCTTCCTCAGACTCCCAATTCTAGGATTACAGGCATGAGCCACCATGCCCAGCACCCTTTTTCTTTTGAGACAAAATCTTGCTAAGTTATCCATGCTGGCCTCAAACTTGAGATCCTCCTGCCTCTGCCTCCTTACTACCTGGGATTACAGGTGTATACCACTGCACCTGGCTTTGCTGTCTTTTTTATTGGCTTCATTTTCAGGCAGGTCCAAGCCTGTGTTTCATCTGCTCAGATCCCCAGAGAAAAGAAAGCAGCTTTTTCCCAGAGTATTAACAAAGTCCGAGGGCTGCCACGTCATGGTCATCCCTAAAGAAGGCCCTCCCGGTGATTGTGGAAGCATCATGTGCGAGTGCTTCTGGACCAAGGCTGAGTGACCCAAGAGGAGCCCACAGAAGCTTTCAAGGGCAATCTGAGGAAGCCACTGAACTGAAAGAGCAGCTGAATGGTTTCCGGAGGAAATGCAGAGGCCTGTTCCAGAAAAGGAGGCAGTCACCAGGGGCCATCCACAGGGACCTCACTCTCAGGCCTATGTATATCTGTCATGACCGCGACATTTATAAGCAGTGGCGAGGACAACGTGAGGTCCCCCCTGAAACAGCTGATTTGGGTTGCATCTAGGAATGGCAGTTGAAATAACCAAATAATTATGCCGAGAAAACAGATCTTGCTGGGCATGGTGGCACATGCCTGTAGTCCCAGCAGTCAGGTTTTTAGACAGGAGGATCACAAATTTGAGGCCTGCCCAGACTGTATAGCAAGATCCAAATCAGCCTGGGCTGTATATGGAGATCCTCTCAACATAAAAACAAAAACCGTAAGTCAACAACTGAGAGAGAGAGAAAGAGAGAGATCTTAAAGGCCCAAGTCTTGTCTGAGCCCTGGGTTCCATAGGGCACAGGAAGAGTGAACAACAGCAGGACTGCGAGGCCGACCTTCTTTTGTAGATGACTCAAATCGTTGCGCCTGAAGCCCACTGGGCCGTCTCTGGGGCTCGGGGTTGGCAGAGTGACGCATCCAGGGAGCTGGGCCCTCACAAGGCCAGTTGTGCGTCTCAGCTTCCTGCACCGGCGTGCAAGGCCCGGCTCAGCGAAGGCTTCCCCGCGTTCTGCTGTCACACCACTCTGTTTCTTCATTTCAGGGTTGCACTAAGGATGTGGTGACAGACTTTGATGAGAAACATGATGAGCATTTAATATTGCTTCAGCAGAGGAACCGGTAAGACAAAGCCGCCCAGCGGCAGCCCTTCTTATTAGCCAAATAAAAATCTGTTTAGATTTATTAGCAACACAGGCCCTGTTCCCAGGAATGGGGTGCAAAGCCCCCTCCTCTCAGAGGCCTGCAATGTTGCCTGCAATCCCAGCTCCTGTTTCTCCACTCTGGTGTGATTGCATCTTTTGACTGAGTCATAGTAGACTCGCCTGTATGGCAGGGTCACCTCTTGCCTCCCTGCTTCTGTTCTGGGAGGAGGTGGCATTGTCAGAAGGAGGAATTTGGCGGGGCCTGTGCAGCAGTCACCTGAAGAACCCGATCTGTAATCTCACCAGCTGTGACAGTCCCTCGAAATTGGAGCCTGCAATCATGTCATTTACATTTGTGTTTGAAGTTGGGGTGTGTGTCATTTAAAGTTCAATTAGGGCGGATTTTTTGTTAGTGCCGGTTCTGAAAAAGCCTGCAGTAGGTGCCGTGTTTAGTGATCGAGGTCAGAGCAGCCTGGTGTGGTTTGGGAGGTGAAGTCTTAGTGCCTCCCAAGGCTGAGGAGTTCATTTCCAGGTCACTGGTTCGTCTTGAGGCCCCTGACCCTAAGTTGGGCTTGCAGGCTCCAAGCCTAAGTGGGGCCATGCAGTGAGTGACAGTGACACAGCAGGGACCGCTGGGCACCTGGGACTCTCCTAGCCATGCAGCTCAGTGCAGACCACTTGTTTGTGGGAATGCAGGCCCCAGGGTCCAGAGAGGCTGGAAATCTGGATATGTGTTGTAAAAGCTCCCAAGTTTCTAACTGCTGGTAATGAATTCCAGTTAAAGCACAAGCCAAATAGCGGAACAGTGCAAACCTACAAAACAGATGTGATGGGGAGGAAGAGGAAGGCGGTACTAGTCTGGCCTTGGGCAGTAGGAGTGGACCAGGGTCTTACGGGGGGTGGGGTGGGGGAGGCCCTGGAGGCATCGCCTGAATGTGGCTGGTGCCCTCATCAGACTGGCCAGGCTGTGAGGGTTGTCACTCTGTTCGGGACAGATTTGTGTGTGCAGGGTGGCTCTATGCCCTGTACGGTAGCACCGCTCCCCACTGGCCCAGTATAGAATTCTATCCATAGAATGCACCCCCATATCCATGGCAACAACACCTGCCCACGTTTCCGAAGGCCGCCCAGAGAGGAGACACCACTCTGGCTGGGGACTTCTGAGTGACTCCTCCGGACCAAAAGTGCCAGGCAGTGCTGTCCATGCCCCACCACTGTTGCCCACCACTCCTCTCTGCATCCCAGGGGTGACCTCGAGCCTGGCACAGCACCTGTGCTGATGCGACCACTGTGGGCTTTCACCATCATCTCCGCACGGAGCCGTATGTTTTACTCCATTCTGGCAGGCTGGAAGGTGCCGCTGGACAGCTGGGTGATGGTTTAATCACCTCCGTGTGGCTGTCTGGGGAGCGGGTGTCACAGTTCTTTATGGGCAGATTGTTCCTCATTAATCAGGGATCGATAAGTGTGCAGTCCTAGAGGTGCTGCTCTATAGCATGTATGAGAATTTCCAGAGACAAGGTTGCAGGACAAAGACAATTAAAAATATATAAAAACTGAGCGGCCATAGAGTCTGGAGGGGCGTGCTGTTTCTGAGGGGCTTCCTCGGGGCAGGGAGTTAGACCACAGAGCTGGAAAAGGCCTCGCAGGGAGCACTACAGGTGGGAAGGCCCGGAAGCCATGGCCAGCGGTGCCCCAGCTCCCACCTTATCCTGTCTGCTCTCTGCCCGGCCGGCAGCCAGAGTGACTGTACGCCTTCTGCAGAGGAGGAAGTACATGCAGCGGTAAGCACAGAATGCCGAGGGCCTCTCATTAAGAAGCAGCAGAGCTGGGCTGTACTTCGTATTTTGTTTGATGTTTTCATAAACCGTCAAAGTGAGTGAAGCCTGCCAGGGTTGCCAGTGGCTCTAAGTTTGCTAAGAAGGGATTTTGCGGGACTAAACTGTAATTTACTTGGAAGCTCAGTTATGTAACAAGGTAGAAAACTAGTCTGAGCATTAATATGAGGCCTTGAGGGGACGCCAACCCCAGCAGGCAGCTTAGCTGGGAGGAGGACGTGTGATGATTGTGATGATGATCGTCAGGGAGGTGCACAGCTGCCCTGAGGGGCCAGGTGACATTATTCTCCTGTCACCCATAGGGTTTCGCTTGGTACCTTCCCTGTGCCCAGCATTGCACTCACACAAAGGCACGTTGCGACGAGGAAGACAGACTGTATTAGTGTCACATCCTTCGGTTGTAAGGGACAAAAACCCAAGGTTAAGTAGACTTGTGCCACTGGAAATCTTAGTCGTTCTGAAATGAAGGCATCCAGCGTGATAACTGGCTCTAGGCGCAGCTGGATCCAGGCGCTTACACCGTCACCGGTGTCATTCCGTCCCATGTCTCGTCTCCCTTGCTGCATGGAAGTCATTCTCAGCCGGTAGCTTCCCTCACAGTGGGTGAGATAGCCAGCAGAAGCCCCATCTCTCTGTCTCTCCTTCGCAGAGGAAGAGAGCCTTTCTTTCCTAGTGCTTGTAGCACGTAGGCCTGGCTTGCGCTGTGTCCCCGCGTGGAGCTGTGCATCCCCCATGTCCAATGGGGGCGCGACCCTTGGCTCCCCCGGACTGGGCAGTGGAGCCATCCTGGCCTGACTGCGTGGAGTGAGAGGAGGGTGCTGTTCCCCAGGAGACCAGGGAGCTACTTGAGGTGGGGAGAGTGGCTGGCAGGTGAGGACAGGGTCCATTGCCCGGCCCTCGGCCTCGAGGAGCTCCCCGGGTGGAGGTTGCTGCTAACTGTGCCAGAAGGATGGAACTCTGCCCTGTGCTCCGGGAGGGGCAGAGACGGGCGAACACAGCCCAGCCCTGCAGACCCAGCCCCACGTGCGACGACACTGGTGCAGGAGACTGCCGAGATGAGGGCCCAGTGAGGAAGAGCTGGAGGCAGAGAGGGGAGTCCAGCACCAGGGCCGTCATTCCTTCCTCGAGAAAGGTTGCCTGAGGGAAGTGTACAGGAAGACAGTGTGCCCTCGAGAGGAGGCTGTGGCAGGAGAGGGCGGACATGCCCAGCTGACCAGGGCTGCCTGGCCGTTCGGGTGGCTGCTGCCTCCACTGTGTATTTTGTCCCCGAGTAGCAGGTGCGGGTGTAGGCATCCCTGCTGTCTCTCCATAGAGGAGAGAGCTGGAGTCCGGGGCTAGAGGCCTGTGGGGTGGTGCACTGGGAAAGGCGGAGCTGTCTGCCCTGAGCTCTGTCCTGCGCTGTACTTCCAAGGGGACGGTGTGGAGGACACCAGCCAGTCCCAGTGGCTGCCCAGGGTCTGGGCTGGGCGGCAGCGGACTTTTCGTGATCTGCCCTACCCTTCCCTTCACCCTTCAGAGCCGGGGCCCGAGGCTGACACCACTGCCTCTGGAAGTCCCGGCCAGGAGCCCTGGCTCCATCTGGCTTCCACTGGTTCAGAGCCCCTGGTGTGGGTGCTGGGGAAGCCGCCCACGGGGGTGGAAGGACTGCAGGACTGTGAAGTCCCAGCCAGGGTGCATTCCCGGTGCTTCTGGGCATGTCAGGGGGACACCTGCACCTCGTGGCCCCTGCAGGGAGACGAGGAACCTAACAGTGCACAGCAAGCCCCCACTGCATCAGGCTCTCCATCCCCAGCTCCTCTGTGTGTGCGTGTGTGCACGGCACGAGGGACTGAATCCTGGGCCCTTGCATGGAGCTACATCCATAGCCATTTTATTTCTTAGTTTGAAACAAGGTCTAAGTTGCCTGCGCCATCCTTGAGCTCTAGACCCACCTGCCTCAGCCTCCCAGAGTAGTGAGATTACAGGCATGTGCCACCATGCCTGGCTGGCCCAGGTCACCTTTACACCTGTCTCTATGCCATTGTCCCATGAGCTCTTGCGTTTGTTTGGTTCTCATCCCCCCTGGGTCTCTGCTTTGGTGGCCCATGAAGAAGGGAAAGTGTACCCTGGGCAGCCTGGCCCAGCCCTGCCCTGCCCCTCAGCACGGTGAGTGCCCCACCTCCTCCCATGTGAGTCCCGAGGCCCGCTGGCCCCGAGCTGTGGTGCACATGAAGTGGAGGGCTGCGGCGTGCCTCCAGACGGTTCACCGGGAGCAGGTGTTCCCCCACGTCCTCTGTGGGACCCCAGTTCCGTGGGACAGTCGCAGTGGGCTGCACTGCTGCCAGCTGGCCCAGGTTCTGGTGAGGAAACACACCCAGTAGACCCACTCTCTAACAGCAGGGCAATCCTTATGATGGCCAGAAGCAAACAGCCAAGAAAGCAGAGGCTGGCAGGGCGCTGGTGGCCTAGCTCCTTCTCAGGGCAGGCAGGCACTGAAGCTGACTTATCTGGATCCCCTGCCCCTAGGACAGCTTTTTATGTGAAATAGGCTATCCAGCTTTCTAAAGTCTTTTTCTCCGATGCCACCTGAATGTTACTGGTGTGCTCAGGGGAGTTCCTTTAGCAATTCCTTTCACAGTCTGAATAATTATCTCCTAATTTATCAGTTTCATAAATCCACATTTTCATAAATCACCCTGCTTAAGTAGAGGCACACGTGCAGGGCCGGCCCGGATGGCGGGTGACAGGACACCGTAGTGCGTGTGGCACAGCGGCCCGGCTCCTCCGGGAGAGCAGGGAGGTGGTGTCCGCCTGGCTGTCCCGGCCCCGCCCCAGGCTGCCCTCCTCTGAGACGCTGTGCCCGGTGGCCTCAGTGATTTGCTCCCATGAGCACTGCGCTTGCCGTGTTTGGAAATCGTCTCTTAGATACTCGTGTTTTCCTTCTGTTTCATGTTGTTGCCCAACAACCAGGCGTCTCCCAGGCTTCTAAGGCTGGCAAGAGATAAGCAGTCTGTAATAAATGCTCCTGCCACAATTGTTGGAAAGATGGATGCATCAGCTGCTGAAGAAACATTTAAAAAGTAAACAAAGGAATCGCCTGTGGTTGTCACCACCTTACCTCAACAGTTGATTTCATTTCTACATTTATCACCTTCCATTCTGGGCTGCGAACGCGCTCCCCAACATCTTTGCCTGAAAGCAGGTGTGCCGTTCCCATTCTGCACTTTCCCGCCACCCCCGCCAGATCTCCACTCTATGTCCCTGGGGAGTCTGACAAGTCTGTTTCTGCTGCAGGGCCTCCCGGCTTCTCCTGCCCTGCTGGTGGACGCTTGAGTTGCTTCCTGGGTTTTTCAGTGTCCAAATGCTGACCGTCTTCTTGCCCAGAGCTTTTGCACAGGAGCGATTTGCTAAATAGAATGTGCTTTTTGGGCAAAGACCAAATACAGGGCATCTTCCCTGTTTCCCCATTTCCTCTAAGAAAGGAGGAAATGTTGTGAGTTACCAACAGCATCTGTTTGCCAGCTCTAACATCATTTCACTAGCTTTAGTCTGTGTTTTGGTGGTGACTCTAGAGCCAGATTGCTCAAATTTTCTTCCTAGCCCCACCACAGACTAGCTGTGTAACCCTGAGCAAGTTAGTCACCCTCTCTGTGCCTCAATTTCTTCATCTATGAAATGGAAGGTGATAACTCACAGAAATGTTGTGAAGTTTAATGTCTTAATATAGTTTATACTCTTTGTTCTCAGGTTTCGTATTTGTGAATTTGCCTGCTGCTCACTAGAGCATATTTGAGCCCTGTAATCAGTCCTTGCTGTGCTTTTGCAGTCACTTACAGACATGTGCAAAAAAAAAAAAAAAAAAATCCTCGTCTCTTGACACATGTGTGCTGGCAGAGATGGAACAGGACAGCAGTCAGGTCTCTTACGGTGCCAAGTGCCTTCATGGCTGTTTGCTGGGCACCAGTTCTGCACTTCTGTTGGTCACAGTTTCTCCGTGTGGACTGGCCCGGCATGGTGCCGAAGGGCTGTCCTGGGCTCCTGACACGAGGCTCCGCTGTGCCTCCTGGAGAAAATGCCGTACAGGGTCTGATCCACAAGCCGGGTGTGTGTTTAAGCTTAAACAATGATTAGAGTCAAAGACATACTGCCATTAACCCCCTTCCCTTTGAACACACTCGTCCCATGATTCCGGCCACTTTCTGAAGCCGCTCTGGATCCTCTTTCATGAGTGTCTCTATGAGGTACAATCAGAGGTGCAGTGATGGCTGCTGCTGAGCGCCATCTGACAGAAAGCCAGGCTCATTAAAGACGGCCGTGTGTCCTCCTGGCTCTTCCCCAAAGTCAAAATGACCTCAAAAAGTAAATGTTTTGGATCAATTCAAGACATTGAGGCATCCAGGCCAGCGCAACTAAAGATAAGAAGGGACTTGCTGAGCTGCTTCAGGAAGTAGCAAGGAATGTGTGGAGGGGAGGTAGTTTGGTGGAGACAAACGGCAATGCGTTTTTTGCTGTAATAGTTTTTAAAAAAATAATTCAGATTCAGTGTAGTTTTTGATCACACCTCATCACTGTTAGATCAGCTGTGTTGGGGCCTGACTTCGAATGCTGGGGCCGAGTCAACAACGCAGCAGGGGATCTTTAATCCAAACACATAAGACAAGGCAATGTGTTGACCGGTAGATGAAATTGTGATCAGACTCATAGGATCCTGAACCCTTAAGTTCCCTGTGAGCAGCGGTTCCGCATTCCCTAATTCCATGTTCATGGTGACACCCTGAAACACACGACCTCAAATAATGAGAGTCAGCTGTATGTTTGTATTTAGAACGGAGTTTGTGTGATGAGTATTGTTTTTAAAAATGGAAACTGCTCATGTGCCGGGCACTTCCTCAGTTACTGAGAGGACGGCCCCTTGCTATGCTGGCTGGTTTTCTGTGTAAACCTCGTAAACCCGGGAGCTCGAAGGTGGCAGCGAGCCCCAGGAGCTGGGTGGCATGCGGCGGGGGGCCTGTGGGGCTGCGGGGGGCTGACCCAGCACAGCTCTGGAGCCACACAGCAGTGGAGCGGGTGGGAGCCAGGCTGCAGGACGGGTCCGGCCCATGTGCTCCTGCCCACGGTGGATAGTTGCAGCGTCTATCGCAGCTGCATTTGTGCACGGGTGTGCTTTTCAGCTTCGCTGGTGTCTGAGATACCTCGGGGGAGCATTTGAGAACGCGTTCATTCTCCACAGCAGAAGATCAGCCTGCATAGTCCATTAAGGGTCGTTTTCTGATTTGTGGGTGTGGTGTGTGAAGTGTCTTCTACACACCTCAGACCCTAAACCACCTCTTGTTACACATCAAACTATTACCGTTCACACAAAGTAAAACTGCACACAGTGGGAAATGCCTCGGAAATTGCAGGGCACGGCAGCAGCATGGCCACACCCCTGGCGCACCCCTCTTTGCAGCCACAGCCACCGCCCCAGGCAGGGACGGCAAGTGTGCATTTTTCCTAATGTGTCTTTTGGCCTCAGAACAGTGGCAGAGGCTTCCACGAGGGCGGCAGACTGTCCCCTCGTGGTTTCTCCACGTTTGCTCTGTGTCTCAGAGGCCGTGTGTACACACGAGCCGAGGAGCCACGCCGCCTGGCCTCCTACTGAGTGACTCCCCGCTGCCTTCCCGAAAGCTGTTCACTTTGCCGTGGGTGGGGGAACTCAGCGGCCCACGTGTCCTTTCGCTTCCAGGATATTAAAGCATTTGAAAGCCAAGGACCCAGTGCAGCTGAAACTGGAGCACCTGGAGCAGGGCTTCTCCGTCTATGTCAGTGGGGCCAACTCGGAGCTGAAGACATCACCTCGAAAAGCTGTGCATGCTGACCTCTTCAGAAGCGCCTCACAGACTGACGGGATGCGTGGTGAGTGCCGGCCTTGTGGGCCAGGCTGCAGCTCTCACCATTCAAGACAGGGCTGGGGTGCGGCCCAGGGGCAGAGCACTTGCCTGCTGGTAGCATGTGCTCGGCCTGGGTTCTGTCCCCAGCACCACAAAAGAAGAATCAGAGACTCTGGAGCCATATCTCGTGCTCCTGAACCTACCAGCGGGTAACTGGTTAACGTAACAAGTTAACTTCACCAGGAAGAGATTGTCAGAGCAGGAAAGTAAATCCTTTTTTTTAAAAAAAATTATTATTTTGGTAGCACTGGGGAGAGAGCCCAGGGCTTCACACAGGCTAAACAGGTGCTCTGCCCCTGAGCCGCATCACAGCCCAGGAAATTCCTTTGTGTTCCTTTCTAAACTGGCTTTGCTTGTACTCCCAAGTGTAAAGGCGGACTGTGCAATTAATTTCTCACACGCAGGTTTCCTGGGGCTCGAGTGTCAGTAATTTAAAGATGTGTCCAGGGTACTTTTGATTCTACCTAATTTTCACTTGATATTTCTTTGCTTTAGTCCCTAACCCCTGTATAATGTTTGATTCCCCCGTTCATTTCTGCATTTCATGCATCTGTACCGTGCAGCTCTGCATGGACCTTGTGTACCCTGTAAGGAGAATGTGGGTGTAAGGGAAAAGGCCCCTGCTCCTGTCTGGTCTGGTGCCAAGTGAATGGGACAGCAGGGCCTGGGGTGTCTGGTCCTGCTTTGGCTGTGTTACTGTGGGAAGCTACTTTGTCTCTCTGCGTCTCTGCCATCTCATCTTTAAAACAGCATTACCAAGTGTGCCTGTCCCAGGGTGCTGGCGTGCCCTTTGAGGATGAGAGGCCAGCATGCTACTGAGCTATGAGAAAATTTGGAAAGAGACAGAGCTAGATTTGAATAAGCCCTATTCTGACACTTTGTAGCTTTGAGATCTCAAGTGATTTGGGACCTCTCTGGGCCCTCAGTTCCCTCTTCTGTAAAGTGGGAATGATTAAGCCCAACTTGCAGTCTAGCCAGGAAGATTTAAATGGCTTCAGAAAGCCTGCACACTTTGGTAACTTTGATTTGTGTTGTTCTGATTCATGGCTTCATACATGTGCTCAGCACCCAAGCCAGTGATACACAGGAAAAGTCAAGACCACAGCAGAAGAATAAAGGAGAAAGGGATGTCCCAAAATGTTCCCCTAGGAGAGCCACCGCAGGGCAGAGAAGGACACCAAGGGTCTCCCGGCTTTCACGGTGCAGGAGTCAGGAGAAACATATGAGAGGATTATCTGTGCCTGGGGACCCAGAGTACTTTCATTCCTTTAGCGAATGCGTCAGCCTACAGCACGTGCGCTCTGTGCCTAAGGTCAGGCCGATTTGCTCCACATTTGGATGTGCTGATTGGCGTGTTCCCTTTTCTGCTGGGTATCTGGCTTGATTTTCAGTGTTCTGCTGCTCTGGAGAGTGCTTCAGTGACCATCCTCCCAGACAAGACTGGACGCACGGACGTACACTTTAGGTTTTTTTTTTTTGTTGTTGTTGTTGTTTTTGAGACAAGGTCTCACTGTATAGTTGAGACTGACCTGGAACTCACTGTGTAGCCCAGGCTGGTCTCGAACTCACAGTGATCCTCCTGCCTCAGCCTCCTGAGTGCTGGGATTACAGGCATGGACCACTACACCCAGCTACGGATGTACGCTTTAGACACAGATTCTGGACAGCCTCAGTGTGAGCTTGTTGTTATGTGTCTCCTTCCCCATCTCTGTGCAGACTATGAACGCAGAACCCTGCTGCGAGAAGCTAAAGAGGCCTTAAGATGCAGCTCCCGGACAGCGCCCAGCAGAGTCCAGCGCCGAGGATGGCACCAGGTCTGGAAGTCTTGGCCCCCACTCACACAGTAGGATGAGGTTGTGGGAACAGAGATATAATCAGGCCTCTAAAGCCCCTACGGTGGGTGTGTGTGCTGGGCTCTGCCGTGTGCATCTGATCCGGGGCTCCTCGCCCGCTGCCTGGTCCTTCCTTCTGCAGGAAGGGCTGACTCAGCCCTTGCCGATGACTATCCAGCCATCTCTACTGACCACTGACCAGATGCTGGGCTGGCCTCAGAGCCAGGCGCAGCCAGTGAAGGAGACAAAGCTCCTGTGCCATGATGCCGGGGGGTGACAGTGTGGGCCGCACCCATGCTGTGAGGGCAGCAGCCTGCATCTTTGAGCACCCATCCCGGGGAGCAGGCCCAGCCTGAGATCCCACATGACTCTTCCCTTTGCCCTCTGCAGACCTAAAGGGCAGGGTCTGGTGTCCTTTCTTTTAGAGAGCAGAGGAAACAGTTGCTCAGAAAAGCTCAAGGTCAGCAGCTGGGCAGTAGCGGAATCCAGATCAGGCCCACAGCTTTGCCCCAAGTTTCCCGTTCTTGCCCGTATGGTCCTGGAGGGCTTGCCTGGCCATCACTTATCCTTTGCTCGGGACCAGGGCCCCTGCTCAGCCCCAGCCACACATCTGCACATCCCAGTTGCCTGGCAGGTTTTAAAATATGGAGGCTTAGGCTCCACCCCTTGGAAATGCTGCTGACAAGGACTAGCAGTAGGGCTGACTGTTGTCACTGGGCTGTCTTCACCAAGATCAGGAGCTGCTTTTGACACTGGACCGAATGCTGGGCCTCCAGCCAGTGTCCACAGGAACCCTGTGGGTCAGTACAGGTCCGCATTGTGCTGCTGGAGGAACTGAGAAACAGGTGCGGTCACTTGCTGTGAGTTGCGTGGCTGCTGAGGGGAGGGGGGCCTGGGATTTGAAGGCTGCGCCCCTTAGGGAGCCTGTGATTCAGCAGGGAAGGTTGTCCTGCCAGCTTGGTGCTGAAGAGCAGGCCCAGAGGGCAGGGGACTGGAGGCTTCCTTTTGTCCCCAGCCATGAATGTTAATTTCTCATTAATGAGGCTGTTCTCCACTTGCCACTCTCAAGATGGTTCTTCTGGTTGTTTTGAGTGCTTCCTATTATCAGGAGCCATATTTGTGTCTTAGACTGTGACTTAATGGCTGGCCCCAGAGTCTGCAGTTTAAAAGACTTGGCCTAAGATTAATTAGCATCCCTCCCCAGTCTCTCCTGTGACTCTACACTTCACAAGGCCTAATCATGGCTAATTTCAGGCTGTAATTGTCCTTCTGCTGTGTATCAGTCAGGGGTCAGTCAGTGCCCAACAGCAGAGACCGCTAGGCTACTTGAGGAGAAAGGATGGCAGTGCCGGAGGAAGACACTGACACAGCTGGGACTGCCCAGTGGTGGGCTCAGAGCTGGGCCTCCAGGAGCCACACCCAAAGGCCAGTGGCTCTGCTCTGCCAGGAGAGCTAGGACACGGGCGATGGTCAGGCTGGGACCTGGGACTTGGGGAACCAGACACCACCTGCTGGAGCCATATGGGAAAGAAAAGCCCTGTGCTCTGGCCTGGCCAGTGTGGGACATTGTTCAGATACTTGTCCCCTCTACGCTGTGCTCAGTGTGAAAACAGTCACACCTGCCCCTCCTCTCCGTGCCCCCTCTGCTTCCTTCATCCTGTGAGGTCGTCTGATGGGCTGAGCCCCGGTTGCCTCCAGAAGCAGAGTCAGGAGGGGCCGGGGAGCACAGCATTTGGCCTTGACCTCTGCAGATAGGCAGGCACCTGTGGAGGGCAGAGGGGGCAGCTACCCGCCACCGCACAGACTCTCCCCCATGCCGGGGCCTTGGGACCGCACTGTGGAGATCTGACAGACCCAGGGGCCGGGCACAGCATGCAGGCTGTCGCCCATCGGAGGAAGAGACGTCCAGTGACACCTGCCGGGGCCCAGCAGCGTGCACAGTGCAGGGCCTTAAACACCCCATAAGTCTCCTGCCCTGAGATGCCTGCTGTGACGTGGTGAGTAGGGAGAAGATTGTTTGCAGACAGCTGCAAGGCTAGGCTGCTGGCAGCTGTGAGTTGGCGACATGAAGTCTGCGGGTCCTCCTTGCCCTCCGACTATATTTTTGGACCTACGGTTTTAAAAAGATGTTTAGACACTTGCCGACATTTAAATTCAAAGCATTTTCTATGTAAAACACCTAGATCCTCATTTAGAATAATGACAGATCTGGCCCCCACTCTGGGCCAAGCAGCTGCTGCCCCCTTGGGCTGGCGTGAGACCCGGGTGTTGCGGCCATGGCGTTTCCACCCCCACCTCCCCTGCTCACTGGGCTATTTGCACTTGTGGCCTCCGGACAGTGGAAGGGCCCGGCTCTGAGCTGCTTGGAGCAGGTGCAAGAACCCTTCTGCGCTTCGGTCTTTACACCGTCACTCTTCCCAGGGCTGCTGGGCACACGTGAGTGCAGGGCAGCCAGGCGGGCCTCCAGCAGGGGCCGTCTGCCTCTTCAGCTCTGAGCGCCTGGTAGCAGAGAAGTGGCCAAGATGCACCCCTGGCCCTGGACGCCGTGCCCAGGTGCCTGGCTCAGCCAGCTGTGCCGCCTTGGTGAGGTGGAGTGATCGGAGGTTGGGGGGCAGTGGCTGAGCTGCTGTCTGTAGAGGTCAGTGCAGGCAGGTGGTACTGACCGCCATGGCAGTGGACAGAGGGAGATGGGGCCTCCGGCCTGCAGACCTCAGGGCGCTTACAGAGCCCCTGCTGGGGTGGAGTTCTGGGGGAGGCAGCCAGGCTGGCGCCCCTGCAGCTTATGCGGAGTGGGGCAGAGGACAGAGCGAGGTCACAAGTGCCGGGAAGGAGAGAAAGGTGGCAGCGTGGACAGTGGCAGGGAGCATTGCTCAAGCAAGAGGAGGGAGCAGAGTCTTCCAGGGCCCCCAGAACAGGGACCTAATGCAGGCTGGAGGCAGGTGGGGCAAGGCCTGCAGGGGGAGAGGGGCCAGTGAAGGACACAGCCAGGGACGTGGGGACGCAGCCCAGACCCAGCGGAGAGGAGGGGAGGCTGGCCGGGCGTGGCTGTGAAGAGGGCAGGGTAGCTGGAGTCAGGAGAAGAGTCATCACACCGGGTGTACAGGCTGCCAGGCGGGGAGTTTGGATTTCAGCCCTGAGGAGTCCGGAAAGGGGCACGCGAGCTGGCGTTTGTGGAGCCCCCCACCCTGCTGTGAGCAGAAAGGCCTCTTGGGGGTCCCGTGCTGCAGAGATCACACAGACGCCTCCGTGCGGGCCTCCCTGAGCCTAGCAGCTCCTTTCTCCCTGACAGCCTCCCACGGCCCCACCCCACACCTGTCCCTGTCCCCCAGCTTCCACTGCCTCACCGAACACCCCCAACATTCCTTCTCCATGTCACTCGGTGTCTGAGGGACTTGAGTCGAATGTCTCGGCTCATCCTGTCACCGGGCTGTGGGTACCCACTGCTGCCTTGGTGGTCTGAGGCTGGCACTGGGGCCAAGCTCTCTGTCCCCTTTAAGCCCCATCTGCCCTGAAGCTGTGCTGGATTAGGGACGGTGCACTTCCCAGCTCCTCATCCCAGAGGCTGGCGCAGGACAGCAAATGGGCCCAGTGCACCAGCTGCACTGTCATTACTGTCACGGGGAAGAGGACAGACTTGGTGTCCTTTGGCCTTAAGAAGTGAAGTTAAGTTGCAGGCTTCTCTGGTGCAAAGTGTGTGGAGATAGGATTTTTTTGTTTTGTTTTGTTTTCCCCCTTGTTTTTTGCTTATTTCAGTACTACGGATAAACCCAGGGCCTTCAGGAACCAGGCAGCTGCTCTACCATTGAGCTGTGCCTCCAGCTCAGGACGGTGTTTGGCTCTGCAGGACTGAGCAGAACTGTCTGTCTCTGGTCTGTGCAGAGACGCCCCTGGCCTTGGAGGCAGCAGAGGTGGGCAGTGTGGTCATGCCATGGCTGGTTCTCAAAAGCCAGCGCATCAGGAAAGGGACCCAGCCCAGCCCAGTGCTGGGGCCACCCCATACGGCAGGGCTGTCCAGGAGACAGTGATGGGCCCACCTTCCCTTCGTTTGTTCACACTGACAGGTCAGCAGGGCCGCATGCTGTCCCAGGGCGCTCACAGCCATGCCCCTGCTAGTGTCTTCCTTCCCTATTGGCCCCGCCCAGCAATCAGGAAGCACTTCTGTGGGGGCGCTGCCCACAGTAAAGGGCTGCCTCAGGCACAGGGGCCAGAGGATCCCCAGCCAGGGTCAAAGTGGTCCTCACCCGGAGACAGCTGACCTGCTCCCCGCGAGATCCCCCAAACAGCCCATCCGGGGACTCCGGGCTCATGGCCACAGCCATGGCTTCTGAGCCACCGTGTTCGCAGCAGAGTGGGTGCATGTGATATATGGGCTCTTGTTCTCACTGTCCTTCCCTCCACTACTTCTGGGCCTTAGATCTTTCTGCTGCTAGCCGTGGATTAAGATTTATGGCTCCCTCAGCCTTGTAATACTTGGGTGGACAGCGGCCTAATCAACAGAGCCGTCGTTTACCAAAATGCTGTCAGATTTGATGAACGTCATCAGCTCTTAGCATTAAATTGGTAGTGAAGGGATTGGCCTTGCAGCAATTTACCATGGGGTGGGCCTTCCTGAAAGGTCTCCTGCAGGTCCCTGCAGTGTGGGGAGTGGGGGCTTTGCGCTCCCTTGCCTGCAATATCCGGTGTCTTCTGTGGCCCTGGTAGCTGGCACCTCTAGGAAAGCTCCCTAGAGAACACGGCCCTGGAGACCTCTGCCTTGGGCTCCCTCTTTCTGGGTTCTGAACCCCCGCAGTGAGGACGTAAATGAAACACCCACGAAGTCAGCCTTCCCGGCGACCTTGCATAGCAGACTGACAGCTCGTCAAGTGCTGTTATTGTAAGAGATGGGGCCTGTCTGGGAGGAACAGACAGGTCAAGGAAGGTCCTTGGTGGGTACTGCACAGCTCCTCTGCCTCTAGGGGGAGCCATTAACACACTGCACAACCTGCACAGCCAGCCAGGGCGGCTGTGCCTACTCTTTTCAGTACTTGGCAATGAGCTTTGAAGCTCACCTCTTAGAACACTTTACCGAGGGGTGTGGGGTACACACAGTAACTGGGCATGAGCTAGGCTGAGTGCGCTCAGACAGAAACAACCTGGGACTCTTAAGTCCTCCAGTGTGTCCACTGCCAGGGTCTACCCAGGTCTGGGCATACAAGGAGGCAGGAAAGAACAGCCACTTGCTCAGGAGCACCCCTGTGGGCACAGCCGTGTGCCAAGCACAGAGCCAGCCCAGAACACAGTCCTCATCCCATGCATGGTGGGCAGGTGGGAGGCAGAGGCACCGGTGCCAGGGCCGGGGGCTGCCAGCCTCAGGGCTGGGGCTGCTCTCCGCCTGGGCTGGGGGCGGGCGAGCAGGCCAGATGGAGGGTCTATTTATTCCCCTCCGAGGCTCCCACTCAGTTTGAGAAACTCTGGACCACGCTGACTTTGTCACATGTTGCTGCATAAACAGTCTTCCATTGTGGGTGCCATGAGCTCCTCCCCAAGAGGGAGGGCGGGTGTTGTCTCTCCAGAGCCTGTGTACACTCAGCGCCTGGGAGGGTTTGCCGAGTGACTGACTGAAGCCCCATTTGTGCTGAGCTGCTGGGAGGGGAGGCTGGGCCCTCCTGCGAGGGTTCTGGGTGCTGCTTTCCTTTCGGGGTGTACATCCTCCTCCTGATCAGCTCTTTCCCCCAGGCACAGCTTGTCCAGGAGCTCAGGCCTAGAGACAGGACAGCCTCCACCTCTCAGCTCTGCCCTACCTGGGCCTTGGGGGAACCAGCATGGCCACCAGCCATTCCCACTTACACCCTGTCCCCTGAGGTTGTATCTCCCTGGCTTCCCAGCTGCATGACCTTGGACAGGGGCCCACACCCCTGTGCCTTAGGTCTGTCCCATTCTAGGAGAGCTTAGTGGGAAAACACACCTGACATGCTAGGGGTGGCACCCAGTCCACACCAAGGCATCCATATGGAAGCAGTGACGGTACAGGCACTGTGAGCCGGGGTCAGAAGCAGCTCTGTCCCGAGCAGGGTGGAGTCCTGAGGGCAGTGGGTCCCCAGGGTCGGTGTCTTCATTAAGTTAAGAGCTGCATCTCCTAATCCCAGGGAAGTTCCTGTGCCAGGATGTCAGGGAAACATAGCCCAGTTATCCTGGAGTTCTTTCCATATTGGGTTGTCTAGTTGGGACACACAGCTTAGTCGGGACATGTGGCTTTGTGTCCTCCTGTGTCCCTCAGAAGCAGGACCAGGAGAGGCAAGCAAGCCACCTGGGGGTGATATTTAGGAAGGCCTCAGGTCAGTGTCAAAGCCCCGAGGGCCCAGCCTGCGTTCCTGGGACAAAGATGTCGCGAGAGTGCCAGAGGCCGGGTGACTGCCAGGGTCACACAGGGAGCAATCATGAGCGTAGCAGGGACTGAACCAGTCCACCTGAGTTTACAGCCAGGCCCTTTCCCATAGGTGAGTGGCTATAACTAGGTACAGAAAGGCCGCGTGCCAGAGCAGGGTATCAGCCAGGCCCGGGGCAGCTGTATGTCACAGGAGAAGGACCACAGAGGCTTGGCCATGGCAATGGCTGCTCCTCTCTTAGGAAGAAGCATCTGGAGGTGGCTGCCAGGGGACAGGTGTGTGATGCCCCAGGCACCTGGCTCCTCCTCTTGTCCACTGGCCCATGGTCCTCGCTCTCAGACATTCCAGCCACATACCAGCCAGCAAGGAGCATGAAGGGCCGTGAAGTCCTGCATCCCAGGTCCTCTGTGACTGCCAGGAGAGCTGGACTCTGCTCAGAAGCCCACCCTGTAACCTTCACACTGCCACACCTGGGGCCGTGCAACTGCAGAGCCTGCCAGTGCTTGGGACCCTCTTACCAGGGCACATTGCTGCCTCAGCAGTCAAGCAGTGGGCAGATCTGGGTGGGCAGAGAGCAGCATCTCCAAGCTAAGTAGGATTTGGGTTCATGGAGAAGACTGGGCAAATGGCCCTGAGATTGGAAGAACAGTGTGAGCAAAGGCACAGAGGTGGGGAGGTGTTAGGCACAGGTGGGAGTCAAGACTTGGTCATAAATAACATGCATCCTGTTCACATTGGCTTACAAAAGAAAAAGTTTCGTTGGCCTTGCTTCAGGTGCAGCTGGATCCAGGAGTTCTAGACAAACCCATCAGGACTCTGCTGCCTCCAGCAGCCTTTCTCTCTGAGCAGCAGGATGGTCCCCAGGGTCCCTCACTTCAGCTTCTCCCTCCAGTGGCTGGCCCTTCTCCTTGGCGGCTGCAGGTCTATTCCCGCCCTGAAGCAGCCTGCCCCGCTGTGCTGTGAGGGGGAGAGGTGGGCCGAGTGGCCAGGTCCGGCTCACATTCCCATGCCCGCGCCACACTGGGATCGAAAGCGGGGAGGGATGTGGGTCCCGGAAAGAAATGAGCAGGGTGTGTGTGTGGGGGGAGCAGCACGTGCACAGGCCCTTGAGGAGACTGAATAACAGTGCCATGGCCCAGCGATCACGGAGGGTGCAGCCCCTCCACACTCCTGCAGCAGGCGCAGGAGCTGGGCCAGGGGAGCAGGGCACTGCCGAGATGCACAGCCCTAGGCCTGTGTATGCTTATGGTCCTCCCCCGCGACGGGGGTGGGGTGTTGCACATCCGGGAACTCAGCTCCCAAGGAGAGGACGAGCCCTCGGATGGCCTAGGGGCTGTGCACCCCAAGCGGGAACAGGAAAGCTGGCAGGGAGAGCAGTCCCTGCACAGAGCCCTCCGCAGTGCAGTCCGATGAACCTGGGAAGGCTTCCAAATTGTATTTTACTTTAGGACGTCTGTGGTGTGTACATGATGGCACCAGGGTTTCCCAAGCCTGGGACCAAATTACATTTCAAAGTCCCTTTTCAGAAGTTCAACTCCTGCTAAAATCCTCCTAGTGAATAATTTCAAACCAAAATGTTACCTGGGCACACTTCGAAGGTTCAGGTAGGAACCATTGCAGACCTTCACGCAGCTGAGTCCAGTGGCACATGCCTGTGATCTCAGCAAGTCTGGAGGCCGAGGCAGGAGGCTCACAGGTTCGAGGCCAGTGTGGGGAACTTAGGCCAGACTCTAAACATGTAAAGAAAGCATGGAAACATGGGGTTGTAGCTCAGGGGAAGAGCCCTTGTGAGCCTGTGGGAGGTCTGGGACCAGTCCCCAGCACCTAGGAAAAAGACAAGGCCTCTGAGCAGAACGGCCCTCCAGCACTAGCCCTTGCCCCTGAGGGAGGCGGGTGTTCATTCCGCCCTGTCTGAGACGGTCTGAATTTTTCTGCGTAGAAATCGGTGCAGATCAGAACAGAAGCCGGCCGGAGACTGCGCATTGAGCCTCCTCTGGACCATTCAGAAGACTCAGAGACTTGCGTGGAGGGGCCCGTCAAGGCCCAGGACGCTTCTGGGGCTCCTTTGCAGGTAGGGCCTGGCCTTGACCTTGTGCTTAAGGCTTCTGCAGGACACTAGGGCTGCCATGGCCTTGCGGAGCTTTCTGGCAGCACAGTCCATCCTTATTCCCGGCTTCTTTCACTCTTGAGTTGCTCACGCGCACTGTGGTGTGCGCACAGGCCGGGTACCTGACAGCTGGTGCCCAGAGGTCAGGTACAGGGCGTTGGGTGAAGCGCTCAGCAAGGCTTCCTGGGGGTGACGTCTGCCCGGTCCTGAACACTGGGGAAGAGGATGGGGCAGGGCAGGGCTGCCTGGCCGGCTGTCACCAGCCTGTGTGTGCCGTGCACGGGTCCGTTACGCTTTTGACCGTCGGCCCCTTCGAGGGCAGCATTGCCCTTGAAACTGGTGGACAAGAAGGAGCAGGTGGGACAGGAGCAAGGGGAAGGGCAATCCAAGCAGGGGAACAGCGTGCTGGTGCTCTGAGGCACAGGGCGTGGGGCGAGTGAGGCGGCCGGGATGAGGCGAGGTTGGAGGCAGTGGGGAGCCCGGGGGTGCGTGGCAGGCCGGGCCAGAACGCGGGGCTGGGATGGTAGTCGGAGTTGGTCCCAACCGCGTGCCTTTGTAATAAAGGGGGTGAGTAATCATCCCCGCAGTTAGGCAGAAGCGGACTTCTCCAGAGACGGCAGGGGGAAGCGGCCCGGTGGGACCCTGGGCTTCGCCGGGGTCCCAGCATCAGATCCCAAGGGCAGTCTTGCTTCTGCACCCAAAGTGCTCCTGTGAAATGAGAATGACTCAGAGCGGAGACGGAAGTGTTGTCCAGGAAACGCTCCTCTGGTTTCCGCTTGCTTGTTTGCTTCTGAAGGAGGGACAGGTAAGGAAGGAGGGATCGCTTTGTTTCACATCCTGGTTTTGTCAGCTGGGAAGGTGTGACTTCCTGAGTAGAACAAAGGAAACAGTTTCTTTTCATTCAGTGACCCAATCCGTGACCTTGTTTCCTCAGCCGGTCTGTAAAAGTAGGACGAAACAATGGACAAAATCGTGGGCTTCATTGCCTTAAAAACATATCCCCACCCCCTCACACACAGTTGACTTTTGAGTACATCAGATAATCCCCGGCTCAGAATCTGCCTGTGCAAAACAAGTCTTCGGTTTCTCCTGCTTTGCTCGGAGGCTGGATTTTAGCCAACTCCAGCCTGGTGCCATCCCAGCCCCACCGCCTCTCCCATGTCTCAGAATCGTGGGCACCCCTCAGGCCAGAGCCCATGGCTTGTGCCTCCGCCCCGGTGTCCTGTGCCTCTTGTTAAATGAACACATAGTTCTTGCTCCGCCAACTCCCCAGCTCCCTGCACCCAGGCGGCAGTGTGGCCATTAGCATTCCTGGGTGCACAGGCTGTGGACCAGCACGGCCGCTGCTCCGCCAGCCCTTAATTTTCTCCGCTGCGAGTGCTTGATTGCATCTTTCTTTCCCCTTCCTCTTCATCCTGAGGGGGCATCCTTAAGGCTTCGCAGTCAATTTCCCCTTGGAGTTATTTTCCCCGCAAAGCAGAGAGCGACATGGCAGTGCCAGTTTCCCGCAAAGGCAAAAGCATTAAGAGATGTGATCAGAACGGGAAGAGGGAGAAAAGGCGCCCGGCAGACGTGCTCAGCCCCTTGCACTGTTTGCAAGTGCGGCCCGAGATGGAGCAGGAGGCACCCGGCTTCCCTGTGGAGACATGCCAGCCCCGGGCCGCTCGGGCCCCTACCTTGCACAGTGCCTTGAAGGGTTCAACCGCTAGCTGACACCTGAGAATCGGGAGATGCTGCAGGAAGATCAGAATTGGAAGATCAGAATTGGAAGATTTGGGCTCTGCATTCTCACACAGCCTCAGAGACAGGTGGGGAACGGCTGGCCCCTTGACAGGGTGAGCACTGCAGGTTGCTACTGTGCTGCCCACAGTGCAGTGCTGAAGATCACCAAGGATAAACGGCACATCTTGTGCCGGGAGATGCGAGGCTGGAGAGAGGCTGGAGAGAGACGGGCTGGAGCCGAGCCCGGGACCCAACACCTGCGAGTTAAAGGAGAGGTTTATCTTGGCTCACAGTGTCCGGAGTTTCAGTCCACGGTTGGCCAGCTCCAAGGCAGAACCAGCATGGTAGAAAAGCTGCTCCTGTCGTAAAGCCAGGCAGCAAAGATAGAAGGGAGGGGCTGGGGATGAGAACACACCCTTCCTGGCCAGTGCTGCCCGGTGACCACCTCTTCTGATCAGCCCCCCCGCCCCCGTACTGGGGATCGAACTCAGGCCCTTGTGCTTCCCAGGCAGGCTCCGCACCCCACAAGGCCCCGCCTCCTAACAGCACAGTCAGCCGGGAACTCACCGATGGGCTAATGCATTGATGAGTGTGACACTCCCGTGACCCCACACCTTCCGAAAGCTCTGTGTGCGAACATGACAGACCTTTTCCAGAGAGTTCCACCGGAATGCCAGGTTTGATCACGTTTGCTTTTCTTGGGACAAGGGCTTTGTACTGCAGTGGGTGATATAATTTCTATTCATAGGATAGTGGCTCCAGTTAAGTATCAGAAATGACAGCGAAGATGCATTTTTAATTAAGATATCTTATTTTCTAGATAACATATAAAGAGTCTAACAATGCCAAGAAAATAAGAGTCTTTTCATAACCCCACTGCCCCACAGTGATGATCTGGGTCCCCCCACCCAGATTAAAAATGGCATTCATCACCGGGTGTGGTAGTGCACGCCTGTAATCCCAACAGTCGGGAGGCTGAGGCAAGAGGATCGCTGAGTTCGAGACCAGCCTGGGCTACATAGTGAGTTCCAGGTCAGTCTCAACCACATAGTGAGACCCTGTCTCAAAAACAAAAAACAAAACAAAACAAAAAAATGGCATTGCTCATTATACCCAAGAGGAGAGTGCTGCCCTGGAATGTCCCAGCCCTGAGTTGCTTCCCTGGTTAGTTACCACGAGGCTTCCTGGAAGAGGAGAGATGACAGGAGGACTGTGCCACCCTGGCGTCTTCTGGAAGCCATCCTGAGTCTCTCTCCCCTTTGGGTGGATCCTGAAGTGAGTGTGCTGAAACCTCCCGCCATCACAGTCCTGCACCATAGGCACGGTTTTTACTGGCACAGAGGGACAGCTAATGGCCGTCTCTGGCCCAGCATCCCTGGGGAGCCCCTCACCCACCATGGCAGGGCCCTGCAGCAGATCTGCTCTGTGGCCTTCGTTCATTTCAACGGTCAGACTTAAAAGTGGGCGATCACTTTGAGGGTGGTTCCATTGCTTGGATGCTTCTGTTTGGGACCACGATATGTAAACACCTCTGAGCAGGTGCCCTTTTTTCTTTCTTTTTTTTCCACTGTTGTTTTAACGTAAATCAGATTATATCATCCATTCTGTTTGATATTCTCGCTCTTTTTGCTCAAACATACTGTGGCCATCTTTCCATGCTGGTGCCCACACAGCCCTCACCCAGGCCAGTGGCTCGGAAGTTCTGGGAGTTGGTGGCTGGGTGTGAATCCTGGCCCCTCCTGGTTGCGAGGTCGCAGCAGTGCTGACAGAGCACAGATGGCTGTGACTGGGTCAGCTCGGGAGTGAGAGCAGAAGGGCACTGAGGAGAGGACCCGGAAGGCCGGGGGACAACAGAAGAGCGAGGCCCCACACATCTCGGGGCAGGAAGTTGCTATGACCAGCCCTGTTCTCTGTGCTGATCCTGGAATTCCAGGGCTCCCACCAGCCTGCTGCCCTATGACAAAATTCTCCCTGCTCACTGCACTGGTGTTCAGCCTCCAGCCACAAAGGGAGCCCAGCGGCAAGGCTGTAGGATGGGCACTGCAAGTGAGTTTGTGAAAACAACGCAGACTCACAGCAGGATATTGCCTTAACAAAAAGCCTTCGGCCCATCCACCAGATTTAAACAACACAGGAGAGATCTGACTTGGTGATATTTTAAAAAATGATAATGAGAACTCATTTCAGTGAGCACTTGCAAAGTATGAGCACCAGGTTGAGTCTGTAGCGGCCATTGCAACATGGACCCCAGGAGCTAAGTGCTGTGCATTTTCATCTCCGTGCTAGAGTTAGAGGAAACTGGGGCACAGAGAAGCGGTGCCGCTCAGCCCGGCCTCAGAGAAGCCCACGCAGGAAGCCCCGGTTCTGTGTCTCCTTGTTCTCTGGAATAACAGTCCCAGGCTGCGAGTCATGCTGGCCTGCCTTTGCTTCAGAATGTGCCACTATCTGTGGCGAATATCATTGATGCTGCGCCAGGAGCAGTGTGCACAGTGCCCATCCATCAGCGATGCTCGCTATCACTTATTATTTGTTTGTTTGTTTGTTTTTTGAGACAGGGCCTCACTATGTAGGTGAGACTGCCCTGGAACTCACTGTGTAGCCCAGGCTGGTCTTGAACTCGCAGCGATCCTCCTGCCTCAGCCTCTTGAGGTGTGCACCTCTATAGGTGTGCGCCACCATGCCCGGCTTGTGCTTAATAGCATTTAAACAGTGAGAGAGCAAAACCCTCCTTATCTACCTGTCTCCCCCATGAACCCACAGTGGAGCACATCCATGAAATCAAACAAGGAACCAACCAGACAACCCCAAATTGAACGACAGTCTACAGCACACCTGGCCCAGGCCTTCCAAAAGTGTCAGTGGTGTGAGAGAGACAAAACAAGGCTGGGGGACTGTTCCAGAAGAAAGGGTGAGTGGTAAAGAGGTGGCACAGTGGTGAACATGAGACTCCGGAGGGATAGAGGAGGACTTGCTTAATTCGGGGATAGTTTGGGGGAAATGGACTATGTTATCAGGGTAATTCCGCGTGCCGACATTAGGTTTCCTGATATTGGTATTGCGTCGGAGAATGTTCTCATTTGCAGGAGACGCCTGCCAGTGTAGGGAACCTGGGGCCACGTCTGTAACCAGCGGGTCAGCAGGTCAGGAGGTCAGGATGGGGCGTGTTCGCCGTACGGGGAGGAGCAGTGGGAGAGGGTGAGGCACGGGGCACACGGCTAGCAACTGCTGAGCGCAGGTGGAGG